CTTCCCCGTAATGTGGTCGCAGCGCCAATTGCGACAGTGCGTCGTCAGCATGTTCCCCGCGGAATGACTGAGCAATTCTGTCGTTCCATCATTGGAAGATCTAGTAAATCAGCTGCCGTTCGTGAATTTGGCGAAGTGGTTAGACGAGCGCAGCACCGCTGGACCATTTGGCAGCGCGGCGGGCAATGGCACGTCTGCCATGTTGGAAGCCGCGGCGGGGCGACAGGCTGGGGCGCTCTCGGCCAAGCACGCGTTGCCGCCTCTCCTGGGCCACAGCCAGGATGAGGAGGAGCATTTCCGCGCCGCGGTTGATTTTGCGAAGTGGGGGAAGTTGCCATTCGATGAGGACGTTGTTGTTCCGCATGGCTTGAAATTTGTGGTGGAGTCTACCGCCGCAGAGCTGCGCGACTTGAGGGAGTTTCGGTTGCGCAGCATGCGCGCGCTGCAAGAGCCCAGTCGCCGGTGCAAGCCCCTCACGGCGGAGCTCTTGAAGTGGCAGAGTCAGACTGTGCGCGCCGTTGCGGGGCATGTTCACGCCGGAGTCGTTGCCGCGGTGGTGGTGCTCACGCGGTGGCCAGACCGGAAGCTGGCGATGCGTTTTGTCACCGGGTTTGGCATCGCGGGCGTAATGGAGGATACGGGTGCGTTTGGACCATCCGAGTATGAAGCTCCCATGCCTGTGCGCGCGCTGCTTGGAGAGCCCAAAGTGTTGCTGGCGGAACTGGATCGACAGCGCGCGAGTGAGGAGGGCGAGCTTCTTTGGGATAGCTGCGCGGAAGAGTGCAAGCAAGGCTGGGCGGCACCGCTGCCATGCAAGTCGGACATTGATGCAGAGTTCGGCGCGGGGCAGTGGGCGCCGATTCCTGCGTTTTGCCATGCTCAACCTTCTGGAAAAAGGGGGGGATCGACGACGGGCGTCGGGGCAGGCAGAACGAAGCCACGGCACTTGGTGAGCGGCAAAGAATGTGCACGCCGTTCCAGCCTGTCATCGATGCAAGGGTGGTCCGGCAAGCGTGTGCGGGCGCAGGTGCCGACGTGGCCCGGGAGAAGCTCGTGTCGGGGGAGAAGATTTGCCGTCGGCCTATGGCTCAGTCCCCGTGCACCCAGATCACTTTCGCTTGAACGTCGTGGCGGTCCGCGACCCTGTCACGGGAGAATGGGAGTTCCAGGTGGCGCGGGCGTTGATTTTCGGATTCTCCGCGTCAGTCATGCAGTTCGCGCGATGGGGCTGTTTTCTGCAGGCAGTGCAGCGCCGCGTGCTGTCGCTTCTGCTGACCATGTACGTGGGCGACGCAAATATTGCCGTTTTCGAATCAGCTGGGGGCGCTGGTCAGGAGGCCGCGCAGTGCTTCTGCGCGGAGTTGGGCACAATCGTGGCTCCGTCGAAGACCAGGGGAATGAGCCCGTCCGGCGGTTTTCTGGGCGTCGTGCGCACCTTCGGCCCGTCGCTGGACTCCAATGTCATATCTTTCAGGGCGCGCGACGCTCTCCTCGCAACGGCAAGGGCGTTCATTGCGGCGAAGCGCAGCGAGGGCAGGCCCATTCCCGGGGGCGCCAGCAAGTCGAGAGGCCTACTCAACTTCATCGCCAGAGCGGCGCGGCACGGCGTGGGCAAAGAGGGGATGGGGGCTTTGAGGCAGCGGCAGTGCACATATTCGCCGCCTTGGACCCTGAGCAACTGCCTGGGTCGCGCCCTCGATTTCTTTTAGATAATTCTGCAAGACGTGCCGAGTCTCTTGGTCGAGATTACGCCGGGCAGCGAGCCTTTGACTCCCGTTGCTCTTCTGACGCGCGCGTCGACGATGGCGCGTGGCCGAAAGGGGGTATGTGCTGTTGGATTGCTCAGGCGGCTATCGGCAAGCTGGCTTCTGCGTTTTTGACGGGGCTCTGCTTGGAATTTGTGGCTACTGCGAGGAACGCTTGAGGCGGGGCCGCCAGCCCATCGCGCTGCGCGAGGGCGCGATGCCGCCCATCATCTACCAGCGCCACGCTAAGTGGCTGGCAAATCGCCGCGTGCTGTATTTTAGAGACAATACCAGCTCTCAGCATTCGTACGCCAAGGGCGGCGCAGTGCCGGCTGCGCCGGATCGGCCCATTGTTTTCACGCATTTCTTGGCGAGCCGCCGTTCGATCACCGCGCGGTGGGAATTCACGCCTTCGGGGACCAATTGGTCGGACGGGATTTCGAGGCAGCTAGGAAGTGGCGCGTTCGCGAGGCGACGCCGATTTGCTGCGACGCGGATCGGCGCGGGCAGTCGCATTTGGACGGGCAGTTTGGATAGCGCATGGCGCTTCGCCAGCAGGCGGCCCCCGCGCGTGGCTGCGACGCGCCGGATTGCGATGCTCGGTAAGTGAACAGCGTTGGGAGAGCGAGCGGGATGTGGGGTGAGCAGCGTTGGGGGGATCGGCCAGGGGGATGCATCGCCCCTCGGTCGGTCGGTCCCCCGTCAAAGGAATGCATCCCTCCTCGGGGGGGGGGGGGGGGGGGGGCGCTCCAGCCGCCCCAATGTCGTTCCCTATGGACACCCGTTTTTTTTTTTTTTTTTTTTTTTTTTTTTTTTTTTTTTTCTTCTTCTTCTTCTTCTTCTTCTTATTCTTCCTCTCTCTCTCTCTCTCTCTCTCTCTCTCTCTCTCACCTTGAATTAAAGACCGTGCGTTCCCTCCTGCCAGCAAGAACAATGCTTGCCCCTTGGACCCCGTCTAATAGCTAAGGTGGGCGCGTAGATTATGCGAGCACTCTGGGCCTGGGCATGCATGGGTGAGTGCAACATAATGCGCGCGCGGGCGCCTTGGCAACGTCGCCCGCCCGCGCAGCTCGGGGCGCAGGGGCGAAGCGATGGGCGGCCCCCCCCCCCCGCTCTTCCGCCCGCGCCGAGGGGCTGCGAGGAACGGGGGGGGGGGGGGGGGGCGACGGGCCGCGGTGGCCGCGCCCGCCTTGCCACCCTCCCACCCTGGGTTTGCGCCGAGCGAACTTGGGGGGTCAATGGGGGCAGGCGTAGCGACGCAGCCTTGAGCGCGACACATCGCGCATGAGGGACGCATCTCCCCTCCGCGGCTGGTCGTGCAATAGGGGCGCATTTTCCTTCTCCTGCAGAGAGGGCGGGGGGGGGGGGATCGGCCAGAGGGATGCATCGCCCCTCGGTCGGTCGGCCTCCCGTCGACGGGATGCATCCTTCCTCGGGGGAGAGCGGCTCCAGCCGCCCCAATGTTGTTCCCTATGGGCACCCGCTCTCTCTCTCTCTCTCTCTCTCTCTTTTTTTGTTTCTCTCTCTCTCTCTCTCACTCTCTCTCTCTCTCTCACCTTAGTAACCTTGCGTGCACTCCAACCGTCAGAAACATGTCTTGTCCCTCGGGCCCCGTCTATAGCTAAGGTGGGCGCGTAGATTATTATCGTGTGCGTTGCACCCAACGTGGTGGCTGTTGACATAAAGCTCCAACTTCGCCGTCCACATCTTTCAGAGTAGCGACAAAGAGGATCGACAGTGGGCTCCACCATCGCCTTCCGCATCTGTTGAGTGCTATCGGCCAGCAATGGCGATGACCTCGGGCGATGTCCGCACGGCTGCTCAGTAATGCTAGAGCCTGGTTCCCACCACTGCCGCCATTGCCAGTGTAGCTGACGACGTGCGGCTCCAGACATGTGTCCCGAACCAAAACGCGCCCCGTCCGCTGTTTCCACGGCTCGCTGTCACACCCACTTGCCCCAGCATTGTAGTTGATGGCGTCTGGCTTCAGTTTTAGCAACCAGAGCACGGCCTTTTCGCGCTCGCTGGCATTCCCAGTGTAGCTGATGACGTTCGGCTCCACATTTGTCTCCCGATTCTCTTGCCGCCCTGTCCGAAGTTGCCCCCGTGCTGTAGCTGATGGCGTCAGCGGCCGCCCCTTACTGCCACTGCTCGCATTTTCCATACTTTATTTTCCCTCCGGTGTAGCAGATAGCGTATGGCTCCCGCTTGTTCCAGAGCTCGCACGCCTGCTGGCACTCACAGTGCAGCCGACGACGTCTGGCTTCCGAGGTTCTCTGACCTCGCTCCGCTGCGTCAGTGCTTGCGGCCATTGCGCTGCCTTTGCGCACGTACTGTTTGCCCCAGTGTAGAAAATGACGTCAGGCCGCAGATTTGTCTCCCAAATCGGCCAGCGTCCCGTCCGATGTTGCCATTGCTTTCCTTTTTGCGCACCCGCGTGCCGCTGCGTTGTAGCAGATCGCGTCTGGCTCCAGTCCTTTTTCCCGGAGCACACCCTTCTCACATTTCGCACGAGCTGGCCCCGCCGCAGAGCGGAGATCTGGTTCGCCCGCCCCGGCGCAGCAACAGAGCATGCTACCACTGCCTGACTCGCACGAGCGGTTCCCAACACTGTAGCCGAGGATCTGTCCCACAAGCTTGCTGCTCTCATGAACTGAACTTTGCGTTGTAGCTGAGATGAGGTTCGCTCGAGCCCCGCCTGTGGTAACAGCTCCCGCTGCCACTGCCTGCCTTCTCGCACGATCTGATCTCCATGCCGAAACTGAGGATCAGACCCACGAGCTCTTTTCATGCACGGCTGATCTCCGCACTGTAGGTGATGACCAGCCCCGCTACTGTCCCCCACCATTGGGCGCGCGCCCGCCGTTGTCCGAAGGGGCCTTGGCTTCATGACGCAGAGCTGCGGCCGCGGGGTGGCGAGCTGCCACGGCTTCGCCCTGCGCTCTGCCCTCTTCTCCCTGGGGCGCCGCAGTCTCCCCCCTTCCTCCCACGCCAGGTGTTGCGAGGCGCGTAGACTGAGGGCCTGACATGCACTTGATGACTCTCCTGGGCATTGCCGCTCCCACGTTTGCCCAAGGAAACTCGCGTGCTCTGTGACGCGGCTTCGGACATACGAGAGAAACGGCCGAGGAGGAGGCGGAGGCGGAGGAGGAGGAGGAGGAGGAGGAGGAGGCGGAGGAAGAGGAAGAGGAGGAGGAGGAGGCCGTCGTCAAAAATGCAAGCCATCATCGGCGCCGCCGGCCGTTCGCGGGGCAGGTGCTCAACGCCTACGCCGCCAAGGGCGACGCCTCGCGCACCGAGAGGTCCGCTGGTCGGCCGGGCGACGGCGGCGAGAGGCAGCGGCGGTGGCGACGGCGACGGCGACGACAAACGACGCGACGGCGGCCCAAGGTGACGCTTATTGTTTATTCGTTGGACCCGTGAGCCTCGCGTCTTCCTGGAGCCGTCTCGAAGGACTGATCAGGCTAGGACCTTGGGAGAGGTCCAGGGGCAAGTTTTCAGCGGAATTGGGCCGGGCGGGAGATCCGCCATGGTGGCAGCGGGAGGATGAGGAGTAAGTTGGCAGAAAGACGAGCACGAAGAGGGAGGTTGTGGGGGGACGTGGAGGAATAGAGAGAAATGGGGGTACTATAGTAATGATAAGGGTTGCTTGAAAACCATCGACCCTCCTCTCTCCTCCTCTCTCCCTCCGCCCTCCTTGTCCTGAAATTCGAATGGTAGGTTAGGTCAGAGTGGCACATCGACCACTGGACGACTAACAACCGACGCGTTTACTAGGCTCTGATGTGCCGCGAGGTCCTGTGACTTGCGACTTACCGATTGGTCAGCAAATCTTGTTGTACAACCGGAGGCGCATCTTATAATGCTCGCTTCCAACGCAGCACGACGGCAGTTTGCTTACCTGACTCGAAAACCTCATCCTATCCACCGGGCAGCTGCAAGCACTGCAAGAACAACGCCCAGGACCACGTACACCAGGACCGCGTGCACTACGACCTCGTGTACCACTCAACTAAAGGTAACGGTCAATCACGGAAGGCCTCCGGCGAGTGTGTCGCCAGTGCTTCGCCACCGAAAACGCAATTTCCCAAACGCCCTGTGCCCGGCAGGGGTCCGATCAGGAAACGCGTTCTTCCAGACACCCTGTGCCCCGTGGGGGGTGGGCACGAACAACCACGGGGGGTATCTGGCGACTGTGTCGCCAGTGCCAACCCTACGGCAGAGCGCATGCGCCAGAAATTTAAGATAAAAGAGGGCCACGTGCCAAAATCGCGTAAGCAGGTCGTAGAGGACAGCTACGACGACTGCGGCACCGGCTTCACAGTTCAGGCCTCATATTTTCTAAGCGTCCCAGCCATTGGCGAGCCGGGCTACCCCGACGAGTGCGACGACGACGGCGACCTCCACGGCATCCTCACACCAGGATTGCCGAGTTGGTGATTCCAGCCAGGAATCGTCGGCCCTGGCATCAGATCGCCATCTGGCGAGTGCTCAAACATGACAGTCCACCGTGTTCGACGCCATCCGCCAGCTCCTCACCAACCTCACCTCGTGCGACTACGGCGCCGACATCATGGAGGTATGCGGTGGGGAGGTGCGGAGTAGCAGACAGGCTATCCGCCGCCGCCTCAGAGTTGGCGAGAATTTCGATTTGGCCACCGGCTGTGACCTGAACGACGAGAGTCAGCAGCGAACCGTGGAACGATACGTTCGTCAACATCGGCCATTCGTTGCCATCGTAGCTCCCGCCTGCCAGCCTTTCGGTCGTTGGGCGACCTTCAACTACAGGCGTTAATACCAAACCTGGCAGCGTTCTTGCGGGGACGCGGCCCCTCATGGCCGATTCTGCGGCTACCTGGCACAGTTGCTGATCGAGCTTGGCGGCTACATCGTCAACGAGCAGTCCGAACCATCATGGCTGTGCGCCGTGCCGCGCTGGCCAGAGGTGCTGGCAGTGCCGAGCGTCGGCAAGGTCATTTTCGACTTGTGTCAGTTTTGGCTTCGCGATCGCCGCGGAGGCATCTTGAAGAAGACCGCCAGGCTGGTCTCCATTCTCGAGCAGTTCTCCAAACTCGATCAGTTATCATTGTGATGATTATGATGCAGATAATGATGGCGATGCTGATGATGACGATGGCAATGATGATACTGATGGCGATGATGACAACGACTGGTCGTTGGCTATGATGGTGCTTGCGATAATGATGGTGATGATGACGGTGATGGTATTGGCGATGATGTTGCGGATGATGATGCTCATGATGAAGATGATAATGGTGATGACGATGAAGATGATAATATTGGTGTTGATGATGACGCCGTCGACGACGACGGCGACGACCATGATGATGATGATGATGATGATGTTGCTGCTGATGATGATGATGAGGGTGATGATCGGGATGCTAATCATGATAGAGATAGTGATGATTGTGATGCAGACGATCTGTTGGTGGAGATGACGAGGATGTTGGTTTTGGTGGTGATGACGATGTTGATGATGATGCTGATGATGCTGATGATGATGACGATGCTGATGATGATGCTGATGGTGCTGGTGATGATGCGGCTTCTACTGCAGCTGCGGCTGCTGCTGCTCATGATGATGATGATTATGATTACGAGGGAGAGGAGAAAGAGGTCGAATCCGCTTGAACACTTGACGTTTCCGTCCTCCTACCTCTTCCTTCTCTCCCTTTTCTGCAATTCTTCACGCTTCGCGTATCCCCACCAGCCCATCTCAAAACAGCAACTCTAGCGAAGCATGCCGACAGTCGTGTTTTTCAGGCGTATTTCCGCCTGCCCCCGCATATCTCCCCTGTTCCTCCTTCCTCCCGCCTCCTTGTACATCCTCCTTGTGGTGGGAGCGGGAGAAGGACGAGGCGGAGGAGGAGGGAGAGAAAGCGCTCCTCGTGGTTGGAGTCGTTCGGGCTTCTCGTCCTGGTGTGAGTCGTTCGGGCCCTTCTTCCTGGTGTGAGTCGTTCGGGCTCTTCGTGGTGTGAGTCGTTCGGGCTCTTCGTCCTGGTGTGAGTCGTTCGGGCTTCTCGTGGTGTGAGTTGTTCGGGCCCCTCGTCCTGGTGTGAGTCGTTCGGGCCCCTCCTCCTGCCCGTCCAGAAACGACGCCCAGGCGAGTAGAGGGTCGTCCTGATGGGCTTTTCGGCGTCTTGGGTGCCTCGGGGGGGCCTCTTTGGGCCGTTTGGGATCCTCTTGGGGGCCTCCTGGGGGCCTCTTGGGGCCATCTTGGGGCCTCTTGGTGCCTCCTGGGCGCTTCTTGGGGCCATCTTGGAGGAAATCGATCAAAGAAGAAGGGAGCTTTAATTAGCGCTGCCCCCTCAGAAGGCCAAAATGGGGCCAAAACCTTAGTACAATCAGTGATTTTGGCTTGAAAGAAGAGGGGAGCTTTAATTAGCGCTGCCCCCATCAGAAGGCCAAAATGGGGCCAACACCGTAGTAAAATCAATGATTCTGGCTTCAAAGAAGAGGGGAGCACTTTTCTGCCTCCCCCCCCGTCGGGGCCAGAATCCTCGTGAGGGGTGTCGAATTGTAGCCCTCCCAGGAGTCGAAAAAGACCCCTCCAACGACCCGCGGGGCGCCCTCTCCAGGCCCAGGGGGAGGGGGTAGGGGGAGGGGTAAACCCCTTCCCGAAGGGGAAGAAGGGGGGTTGAGAACAGAGAGAGCTCTCTAAACCACTCACGCCCAAAGGGCTGGTGGGATTCGCTCCCCTCTCCATCCCTGTCTCCCTCCCCCGCTTCCGACGCGCCCTTTCGAGCCCGTTTCTTCATTGCTTGGGGCATGACGGGCGTCATGGCCCCCGCTCCCCCTCCCCCCCCTATGACGTACCGCTCCCCCCTCAGTGCGCTCCGGGCAGTGCCGCCGTGCGCGTTGGGATCCGCGTAGGTGTCCGCGTAGGAAGCCGCATGGGAGTCTGGTCGGCAGTCGTCGTCGTCGTCGTCGTCGTGGTCGTCGTCGTCGTCGTCGTCGCTCGTGGCTTGTCGCTTGTCGCTCATAGTCGTCGTGCGCGCGGACGCGGCTGAAACCTGTTTTTTTTCCGGGCCGATGACGGCAATCATCTAGGGGGGGGAGGGGGTTGATTTCGTCACGTTTCGTGCCGGCGGCGTCTGGGAATGCCTAGGGATGACGGAGGACGGGTAGCGCCAGCATGTATGTGGCGATTTGCACCGCAACGCTTGTGTACATAACAGTGCCCGCGTGCACCACAGCGCCTGTGTACACCACGTCGCCTATGTACACCACAGCGTCCTTGTGCAACACAGCGTCAGTTTGTGCCACCGTGCCTGCGGGCACAACACTTCTTGTGCACACCGCAGCGCTTGCATACACCACATCAGCCGTGTGTAACACAGCACCAGTGTACACAATGCCTGCGTGCATTGCAGTGCCTGTGTGCACCACGGCGCCTGCGTGCACAACAGCAACCGTGTGCAACACCGCACCACTGTTGCATATAGAGCGTTGGAACGAATCTTTATGACAAAATGGAGCGTTTGTGGATTCCACAGAAAACCGTAGAAACTAGTCCTTATGGACAACGGAGCGCCGCTGCAATCTACGAGTCCTCCCGAGTCCGCCCGCATCACCCTAACTCCTCCCATCTGCGTCCAAGAGTCTCCAGCTAACTTGGCCGTCCGAGAACCAATTGGACCGATTCAATCGATCATTGTGCGGTGCGCGCTGAGATGCGCACGTGCGCTGTAGCGCCAACCCGCACGACGGGGGGTAAGGAGGAAGAGAAGGAGAAGGAGGAGGAAGAGGAGGAGGAGGAGGAGGAGGAGGAGGAAGAGGATGAGGAGGAGGAGGAGGAGAGGAGGAGGAGGAAAAGGAGGAGGAAGAGGAGGACGAGGTGGGGGAGGTGGAGGAGGTGGTGGAGGTGGATGAGGACGATTATCAGCACTTTCCCAGCGTCGCGTCTAGCTGTCCGCAGCAGATCCTCACGCGCATGCTCCTTTTACTTGTCCTATGCGCGCAGGCAATATGGTGTACACCAGCGCTGCGTTGCACGCGGATGCAGTGGTGTAGACGCGCGCCGTGGCGTGCACACGCGCCGCGGTGCACGCAAACATTGTGGTATACATGCGCGCTGTGTTGCACATTGTATTTGCGGTGTACACATGCACACCGGCGATGTGGTGTACGCAACCACCGTGGTGTACACAAGCGCTGCGTTGCATACGGTGTGCGCAGGCGCTGTAGTATACACGCGCGCTGTGGTGCACGCGAGCGTTGTGGTGTACACAAGCGATTTGGGGCATATCGCCACTTACATGCTGCTCGTCGCTCGTCGCGTCGCGTCGCGCGCGCGGGCGCGCCTGCGGTGCCGGAGCCACACGGCGGGGGGGCTTTACGTTATACCCCCTTCACGCCCGTCATCGCCGAACATGAAAGAACGCGCTCTTCCCACCCGTTTCTTTTCCCTCCCCCATTCCTTTCCCTTTCCTTTCCTCCCCCCTTTTCTCTTTGCCATTCTCTTGTCCCGTCCTCCTGCTTCTTTCCCCTCATCCATTTACCCCTCCCTCGTCCTACCCCGTCGCCCCCCCCGCTCCCTCTCCACAGTTGCACCACGTCGCTGTCCACTGGGGGGGGCTTCCTCCCCCGCGCAGTTTTGTGTTTCCGACCATCCTGTGGTGTTGGGTCCTCGTTTTGAATAGACAGCGCCCCGCGTCTCCTCCTTCCTTCCTTCCTTCCTCCTCCTCCCCCCTCCTCCCCACCCCCCCTCCCAGTGCAGCGTTTCGTAGCCCCATAGTGAGCTCCACCGAAGGCCCCAGTGGGGGTGCCCGCATGCGGTTCCCCCACCCAGGGCACCGTTTCGTGGCCTCATAGGGAGCTCCACCGAAGGCCCCAGTGGGGGTGCCCGCATGCGGTTCCCCTACCCAGCGCAGCGTTTCGTGGCCCCGCAGGGAGCTCCACTGTAGGTCCCAGTGGGGGTGCCCGCATGCGGTTCCCCCACCCAGGGCAGCGTTTCGTGGGCCCATAGGGCGCTCCACCGAAGTCCCCAGTGGTGGTGCCCGCATGCGGTTCCCCCACCCAGGGCAGCGCTTCGTGGCCCCATAGGGAGCTCCACCGAAGGCCCCAGTGGGGGTGCCCACATGCGGTTCCCCCACCCAGGGCAGCGTTTCGTGGCCCCATGGGGTGCTCCACCGAAGGCCCCAGTGGGGGTGCCCGCATGCGGTTCCCCACCACCACCAGTGTGGCAGGCCCCTCACACAGTTCGTGGCCCGATAAGGAGCTCCACCGAGGACGATATTCACAACTGCGGTACTCACAACTGCATATGGTTGGGTCCGTCGCCAGGCTATTTTTTTTCACGCGCGCGATCTCCTCCCTTGCCCTCCTCCTCCTCCTCCTCCTGCTCCTCCTCTCCTCTCTCCCGGGTATTTCTGAGCATTTCGTGTCCGCGCACCTCCAGACCTCCTCCGTCGGTATTTCAAGGACCACCTCGTGAGGTTTCAGCCTCCTGAGCAGGCCGGAAACAGTCCGATCTTCCCCCGCCGGCGGGACGCCTCCGCGCGTCCATCCGTCTGTCCGTCCGTTCCGCCCCTTCCTGCCGCCGCTCTCCCTCGGCCTCGGCGGAGTGCCGCGGCCCTCTGCTGCCCCCCTCTCTCTCACTCTCCAGCCCCCCCTCTGCGTGCCCCCGCTTGCAGCTTCCTTCATCGCATGAAGCTCATGGGCGTGCAGCCGAACTTCGTGACTTACAGCACTATCTGCAAG